TGCTTTCTAGTACTAATACCTGCTCCTTGAAAAGGAACTATATAGTTTTAAAAAATATGGATACATTTGTAAGACATAGCTAAAACAGGTTCAAGGACTCCTGGTTTTAACTAGGCCAGCTGCATCATCATCATGGCATTGTGATATTGGCAATGTCAAGAAAGCACTTGTTATTGGCTTTTAACTAGGCCAGCTGCATCATCATCATCATCATGGCATTGTGATATTTGCAATGTCAAGAAAGCACTTGTTATTGGTACAATGATAAAATGGCTGCCATCATGGGCAAGAAATTACGTATGTATTCCAAAACATAGAAATAGCTCCAATTTGGTGCAAAAGCGGGCCTCAAAGTGAAGGAAGAAGACAGGCTAGACAGCTAGTGTTGACTTATTTTTGGAGGTTGGATTGCATGTGTTTCATTAGTACTTGGTAGCAGACTGCAAACCGCAACAAAACAGCAGACAGGATGCAGCGCAGGGAATGGCGAAGTCTTCCAAAGTCCAACTTCCACATCTTTCTCAAAGCAGAATGTATGTTCTTGAGCCAAATTAGAGCAGCACTTTGGAAATTTTGTGCTTATGCACAGCTGCAGTGATAGCACTCTTCCCATGTCCAAATCTCCTACTTTGGAAGAACCAATCAATATTTTATAAGAGAACATTTCACTTTAAGTAAACACTTTAATGATTTAAATAAAAGGTCACTCGTCCGTAAAAGTGCGAGAACAGATATAAAAAAATTAGAGAGGAAAGAAGTAATGTTGCTGTTATGCAGGCAGAAATCTTCTGAGTGGCGCCTTCACTCTGTCCCTCCTGTACTTCACCCCCTCTCTCCATCCAGTACTGTTTGAAGGTAGGACACATGAACAAAGATGGGTAGCATCTTTTTTTATTAATGAATTTGCACTGTTGCATCTATTCAACTAGCCCATATTGGGAGGCATTTATAAAACCCCTAATTTTTAGTTTGTTGAGCCATGCTGGCTGACAACTTTCCAGCGCAAACAGAGAGGGCCAAATATAAAAACATACTGTACTATCTGTCCATACTCCCAAGTACCCATGGAGTGCTTAGTTTTACAAAAGGAGGCACCAACTATACTGGACATTATACAAATTGAGTTCTACATGCAACTGTGCTAAATAAAATGATCTGGAAGATTGTATTTGGCTTGAAGGCAGACTACTCTCTGGAGAACAATGACCCAGAAAGAACCATGTTATGGAAAATCCAATATAGAAAGAATAGAGGCTTTTCATTACAGCAAATACGGTGCTCCAGGGGCAGCCACATACTTCACGTTTGCTCCCATTCCGATTCACATAATGTTGCTGTCACCCAGGCATTTATCTATTATGCTACGAAAAATGGAGTCACTGAGAGGAAACTACAAACTCTCCATTTGGCTTCAGGAGAGAATTTGAATCCAACCAATAGATAACACCATCTTTGTAACTTTGACTTCCCATGCAGCTAGAGGGCTGCATGGTTCATTAACATGGCCGGAGCAGCTAGGAAATAAACCAAAAGTAATTCTATTAACTTGTTCTAGTAAACTGTACAGATCTGACTCCCTCAGGAACCTTCAAATAGTATGGTACATCAATAAAGCCACAAGGGCCTGGATGGGGACTCTTTGGTCCTCCAGTGGCTCGTGAAGTATCTTTCCATCTTCCCTCATCATGGGAAAGATGAAATTGTTGGCTAGCTTAGTGATTTAAGAATCTGGCTAAGGAGTCAGAGGTTGGAGTTTGATTCCCCACTATGCCTCCATTAGCCTTAGGATCCCTTCCAGCTCTGTAGTTCTAAGATGATGATGATTAAGGGGGTTGGCTGGAGCCTAACTCTAATAGAGGGCCCCAATTTCCTCAGCTCTCGTCTAGAGGACCAGAAACACTAAAAGCACCTACCTCATCTTAGTCATAGTGCTATTATTGTGCTGGCACTCACTGGAATCATGTCCCACGAATGAAGCAACAGGTGGAAAAAGCAGAACACACTGTATTGAACTGCTGTGACATAGAGGGATCTGGTGTGTACTGGTAGACTAATCCATCCATAATAGTTCTGACTAAAAGCATGTTTGTGTGTCCACTGCAAGTTTTAGAAATGACTACTACAAATTATGTGTAGTTTTGCACAGTGGAATTTTTTATTAGGGTGTGTTGCATTGTTTAGTTGTCAATGAGAGAATAAAACATAACTCTGTTTCTAGCAGTTGCCCAGTTGTGTTTCTGGAATCAACTAAAAGTATAAAATCAAAACAGTCAGAAACTTTTTCTAAGATGGAACAGTTTGTCAGTTTTTAAATTAATCAGGATTGCTTTTATCCAAACATAGAAACTAATTCATTATCTCTCAAAGCTGCAGAGGAAGAGCTGGATCTATTCAGAATTAAAGTAAGAGCTCCCTTTGTTAAAACTGTTCACTACATTCAACAGCACGCCACCATCATCATAGTTAAATCCTTCTAACTAGTCTTCACTACGAACTTCATTGCAATGTTTTAGTCATTTCCCCATTAATAAGAGTAAATGACATCCACATGCCACAAAAACATCCAGCAACAAAGCTTAAGAGATAAATTTAGCACAAGCACACCACATTAACATTTTAAATTTGGAACAGCTGCATTCCTAATGCTTTTGATCCACTCTTGTGGCAACTCCTGTTTTAAAATTCTCTTTGTTCCTTTTACCTATGTTGTCATTTGCCTTTTGTCTTAGCTGCCTCTACTCTAGAAGTGGCACCTGAAATACTAATAATAAGTTAACTGTAGTCTGTTATTTCTTAGATCTTTCTCATAGATGGCAATACAGGCACTGCTGGAGAGCAATTCCCACCATTCCACTCCATTGGCTATGAAGGTGATGGGAGCAGCAGCCCTCATGGAGGGAGGGATTTCCCCCCCACCTGTTTCTGCTAGGACTGAAGGGGTGATCCATTGACCTTTTTCAGTAGTGGCAGGAACTTCAAGCAAAGAAAGCAAGGAATGTATTTCTTGCCAATGTAGCAATAGGTCTATGGCAGCAAGTACACTGACAATGATTTGCTCTTAGATTACACAATGGTGGTGGCATGATACCAATGTGTAATCAGTCCTGCATATCCCAAGTAAAGAATTTAAAGAAGCACCCTGTACATGACTGGAGCATTTATAACTACTTACAAGTCAAGGGCAGTCCATTTCTTGACAACATGATACAATAGTACCTCAGTAACGTAGCATCCAACATACCACCAAGTTCTTATTTTACTTTAGTTTATTTTCATTTTATTTCATTTCATGCTGTTTTAAGGTGTACTTTTGTTATTTGTTTTTCCATCTCTTACATTTTATTTGGTAATTATTATATACTTTTGTTTATCCTGTCATTCTTCTTGTTTACCTTGTTTTAAACCACCTAGAGTAGCCTTGGCTGCCAGATGTGTGGTATAAAAATCAAATCAAATAATAAATAAATTTATATATCTGAAATACAGTCTGCAACTTAATACACAGCAACTAAGCATAGCACTAGGAGCACAACCATATCAATTCTATTCTATAACATTCTTTGCCAGTGTTATCCATACATATCTGGCTAATTACTGTCATGTTGATAAGATCTCTAACCACTGTATCGACATGAGACATTCTAATAGTATTCCATGTATTTCCAGTTCTACCCTTAAAAAATTAAGAGATCAATACATGATCACAGATGCCATCATTTTGGTTTCTTGCAAACTACATTACTTTATTACATTCCTTACTACTGCAAAGGCTTTCCACAACGATAACGTATTGCATTTAGAAGTGACACTTGCCAAGAGGATTACATGGGCAACTTCTCAACTGGACAATCCTCCTCCTGACTCCTACTATAGCTCAGCCTGTTGGCTTACTGCACCTTTCAATTTATTTAATGATAACAGCAAACTAGCATCGTCTCTCTTCTAATTCAATCCAGGAGCACATACACTCTGAAGACAGTAATAAAATAATAAAAAAGAGAAAAAAATAAAAGCACATCTCTCCAGAATGCAGGCCAGGGAAGAAGAAGAAGAAAAAAAAATACATTACTTGGCTGATTATGGAGAAAGTCATTCCAATTGTAAATGTGGTTCTCTTTCAGCTTTGGGATGCATCATTCCTTTCTATCAAGTCAGTAAATTCCTTTGTGGAAAAGGAGCTCTTTTCAGATTGACCACATGCAGGGCATTGTAAGCTGTTCCATCGTCTCAGCATGAGATGGGAAAGGAAAAGCAACTGGCACAGTTCTTGCTATGTTAGCAGGTACTGAAGCCTGCTGAGTTTCAAATTATGATGTGCCGTCGTCTCTCTACTATCAAGCGGCCCCATAGTTTTACAATCTAAAGTTACTTTGGAAAGTTATTTTTTTGAAAAACAAATTCTAACCAACTCCTTATTAAACTCTCAAATATGTAATTTATTACTTACTACAATGCTTTTTTTTTAAAAAAAAAACAAAACCTCATTCTACTGCTACAGTTTCCGTTACAGTTTCCGTTCTTTAAAAAGCCCCCAGAACTTCAGCACTGCTACTATGATGGCATCAAATATGGCTCTTAAAATGCCCTGGAAAAGCAACTTTTAAAAATATCTAGAAAACAGTATTCATAACTCTATTTCTGCTCATTATTTTACTTTGGGAAATGCGGCTTAGTTCTCCTCTCCCAGCCATAAAGAAAAGAGCCAGTGTAGTGTGGTGGGTAGAGTGACAGATCTGGGTTCAAAGCCTTGTTCCACCATGGAAATTCACTGGGAGGAAGTAATGGTAAAACTACTCCTTCAGTGGGAACCATGCACCTCACCCCTTCACCACACATAACCAAGCACATTTCAAAGAAAAACCTTCAATTCTGAACCCACCACTTTAAAACTGCCAGTTTCATCTGTATTATTACATGCAGTAAAAGTTGGAGTCCAGCATTATCTATCCTGCAGTGGAAACGATTGAGGGAAATTTCCGCCTCACAGCCTACGTACTTACTTGAAATGTAAGTCCTTGAAGGTAAAATGAGTCTCTACAATGCCTGTAGTCTTCACTCTGGTTCTCAGCACATCTTGCTGGGTTGGAATGTAATCCCCTCTGGCTATCCGCTCCAAATCATTCAGGTAGCTGTGAGGGAGAAAGTGGGGTTGAAGTTTAGTGAAGTAGCTCACGGCAAGTTACAAAGTACCATAGAAGATAAAGAGAGCAAGGAGAAGCTGCAGGGTCTTCTTTCCCCAATATCTGTCTAATTTGTCACTCAAATGCCATCTATGTATGCTTGGTGAGGGGGAGTAAGGAGGACAGAGTAGTTCTTATTGTTTCCTACTACGCAGTCCCATGAACACATATTTGTCAGCCATCCTGGAAATAAGACAAACTTAACAGCTAAGAATCTTGAGAGGCAGATACACCCATGCTACCTTGCACTGCAGAAAATACAGCCAAGATGATTGAAATCACCATCTCTCAAATGACAAACAGAACACCCTCCATTTGAACTGGACATCAGTGGATGCAGAAAGACAATGTACATATCACATGTACAGCAAACCCTAAACACAGGGACAGCTTGTAAACATGCATCCAGTGATTTTTTTTAAAAGGGACAAAACTTCTTGTAGTTGGTGTTTTTTTTTTTTTTAACTTATTCAATTGAGCTTGTCGAAGTTAGTGGATATACAGCCCCATTCTGCGAGTGCTTCTCTGGCAACAAGCTGCACTGTGTTGAGATGAGAGTTACACCCGTGTACGTAGTAAGCAAAGCATTACAGCTCCAAAAGGTGTTTCCCAAATGGAGAACGACTGACTGCTGCCACAATCCTCACAGGCATTTGAGCCCAGGCTTTGCATTTTAAATCTCCAGAGGAAAAAAAAGAGCAGCTATTCAAGCAGAATTCCAGCTGCAGCCAATCCTCAGCACGGTGCTACACTTCCAGACCCTTCGGGGGAGTATCTTTTTTTGCCATGTTGTTATGCTGTACATTACTTTACCAGACTATGACGCCTGCCTCTTATCCTCGGATACATTTGGATTTGTATCCCACCCCCTTCCGTCATCATTTTCAGTTAATCATGGCTGCACAGTTACAATAATACAATGCAGCTCTCAGGAAAAAGGAAAGTATTCATCACTATGGTAACAAATTGGGGGGGGGGAGAGAGCTGCAGCGCTTCCAGAAACAATTTATGGCTACTTGCCATTTATAGTCAAAATACCAAAACCCTCCCTTCCTGGAAAGGAAGAAGGAGATCTTTGGGGAGAAGGGAGGGGGACAGTGAGCAGTGTTGCTCGAGGCAGAAAACATCAGGACAAGGCAAATCTATTCAGAGGGGAGAGGAATCCTTTGCCGCTTTGGCCAAGTTCCTTCCTTCCTTCCTTCCTTCCACAAAGTAGGAGGGAGAGCACACAGGGCCACAGAGACAAAAATCACAGAATAGCCTTAGAGCAATTTATCCACAGATAGGTATGCAGCCACAAAGTGAGTCATCAAAAGAATGGCACAGCACCCTCAATGGGAGATTGGACTCTTTCACCTTCTCACACATGCTGCCTGCCCTGACAAGGCGGGAGCTATCCAAACCTTTTAGCAGCGGTGGTCAAGCTGCAACGTGGGCTCAGGGGATGATGCATCCCATTGGCAGAGGCCCTGTGTTGAACTTCAGGTAGCTTACCCACTCCTGCATTAAGCAATGCAAACACATAGGGTAGTGATACCCTTATCAGACCACGGAAATATCAGAAAGACAGGGTTCAGTTCCTGAAAGAGTCTTCATCAGGCTGGGCATTGATACACGAAAGTGTCTCCCAATTTTTCCGGAGTCATGGAGAAGGGAAAACACAGTTTCTATCAGACATGCATTTCTCCTGGTAAGGCTCTACCAAGTCAGTCCTTTTCAGTGCAAGAGAAGGTGGCATGCTAGGAACTGTGGCCTCCACAGACACCATTTCTACTTGAGAAGGGAGGGTGACCACTGCAGCACAGAGTCCTCTTTGGCCAGGCTGGTCAAATGAACCCATTTCCTCTGCAACTCTCAGATTTCTGTCTAGATCTTTCTAGCAGAAAGCCACAAAGCAAACGGTGCCAAGCAGAGAGATTACATGGCTAACAGTGGCAAGACATTTCAAGTACTGAATGGCTGGCAAAGGCACCCATCGCCTGTGGAGCTGGAATACATTGTTTTCTCAGCACAAGTATGGAGGTAATAGAAATCACAATTGAGATTACAACACAGACACTATCAATTATAGTAGTGGTGGTACACCCATGTATAGATTTTTTTTTTTTTTAAATTCAAATCACACCCAGGCAAAAACATTATTGAGAATAAGATGAATCAAGCAAAGAAAAATGAGACAGCATCAGGAAAATTGTGGCTCTCAAGTCTTCCCATGGCTCTTTTTTCACTGGTAATCGATCAGGAAGCTGGGATGGTTTATCACTGTCACTATCAGATGCTGCTCTCTTTATTACCACTTGTGCTGAACACCCAGAGTTCACTCAGTGATTTCCAATGTTTTAATGCCTTTTACTCTGGGGTTATTTTGTTTAATTCACGGGTGTTAATCAAGAGGCAAATTACCAGTGTGGTATAGTGCAGTGGTCCCCAACCTTGGGCCTCCAGATGTTCTTGGACTTCAACTCCCAGAAATCCTGGCCAGCAGAGATGATGGTGAAGGCTTCTGGGAGGACCACTGGTATAGTGGATAGTGAAGGACTAGGACTCCAGAGACCAGGGTTTGACCCCCTGCTCAGTCATGGAAACTGAGTGGGGGAGTGGAACTGGAAAATCATTCCCTGCTCAGTCATGGAAACTGACTGGGGGGGGGGGTGGAACTGGAAAATCATTCCTTAAACATTTTACTTACCTTGAAAGCCCTGTTAGGGTCAATATAAGTTGGTTATGACTTGGTGGCACAGAGCAAACAAATAAGCACAACAGTCACAGATGATACAGGCACATTGTTTTTTTTATACTGAAAAAAAATTTAAAAATAAAGGACAATTGAGACACATATTCCTGAGACATACAGATTGTATGTTGCTTCCAAAGGTGGATGTGGCAGCTGTGATGTCCTAAGTCTGACATTGATAAGACCACAAAGAAGGCACAAGGTAAATCTCTCTAGGTAAACAGGCTACAGCTAGATGCCAGAACCACAAAGGACATTTTACTAGAAGCACCTGTCTCCCTTCATTTGGTGGAGGCCTTTGAAGAAAAGCTTCTGAGGAACAACTTTCAAAGGTCAGGAAGGTACACATGAGGGAATGTGTCCTGCTTAGCAGCCTAGTCCCAAGCTACTCTAAGACTTGTCAAGGTAAAGTACATCCTTTAAATTGAACCTAGAAACAGAGTGGGAGCCATTATGGCTAGCAATGCAGAAGGCTGCTGTGGTCAAAACACATCTAGTTTTAGATAATATTACTATGGTCCTATTCTGACCTCACCGCAGTTTCTAAATCATTTCTAAAAGCATATCTAGATACAATCTTTTGGAATGATATAAACACAAGGTTAGCAGACCACAGGTGACCGTGGCCATCCTATCCCAATCTACATTAGACGACAGCTGGCATTACCAACTGCTGGGGCTGAGAGGAGGTGCTTTGAGCCACAGAGGTCACTTGAGACTCTGATTAAAATGCAGCACTAACAGCCAGTCCCAGACTACTGGATCTTCTTGTTCTCCTAGAAGAGGCTGGATATCATCATGGTGACCTTGAGCCTGGATGTGGCAGCTCTTCCGAACTAGTCTCCCAGACAGGATGTTTTTCTTCTTCCTGCATTTATTATACTTTGATTGATCAGTTACAACAGCGTACTTTTCTTTATTTTGTGACCAAATTATTATTGTTTTCCACATTTTATATGTTCTATGACTTCTTGAGTTTCACCCATTTGCTTTCGTTTTTCTTCATTTGCTACCCTCTCATGCCCAGACAGCAAACCTGATTGAAGGAAAGCTTTTAGGACAGGCTGAACTTCATTCACTCTGCCGCTGCTGAGCCACACTGACCAGTAATGCTGATGCCTGCTCTGGACAGAATCTCAGCACTTTCACCCTCATCTAGTCTATTGCCATGGCAAAGCCTCACTTGCGTCTGATGTAAAAGAAAGTTGTACTTGGGTGTCATTTGAATACGAGTGACATCTCAGGTCAAATCTCCAGATAGACTTTCCCAGTGTTTTCCGGTAACAATTAAACAATACAGCAGATCAAAGAGAATCCTGTGCAACTCTGAAACATAACTGGCAAAGGCCAAGGAATAATCACCACACTGTGTCAGGTTTAATCCAAGTAGGAGGGGAACCGCCACACTCATCCAAATAACCCATTCCGAAGGCAACAATGTTCCATGACACTGAAAGGCACCAGAGTTCCAAGAAAATTCAACGGAGTCACAGTTTCTTGCGTCTCTTGAGGCAAAGATGGAAACCATGTCAGTTTCCATCCCCAAAGCAGCCCAAAACTCCAAACAAAATGCCCAGAGAGAAATATTTGCATCCTTTTCCCTAACTCTCTCATGCCACAATTTCTAATTTCCACGCTTATTAATTAGTACACGCACGAATCTGTAAGAAGAGTCTTCATTTTGCCCAAACCAGAAGTCTTTTTGATCTGAAAATATACCCAAAAAAAGATACTACAGTTAAAAATGATTTTCTATTTTACTTTATTTCATAATTGCTGTTTTACTGAGCATAAATATTTATACCCATTATCTTTCTAACCAGAGATACAGTGCTCCACTCAGCATGTTATAAAAGTGTTGGATGTTTGTACTGCTCAGCGCCATGCTGTCACAGCTGGCCCTTCCCTGCAGGATTATTGTTGTACTCCACAGTGAGTCTTCTGCATGCACAGCAGTGACCTTGCAATTCTTTGTGTTTGTAATGACTTTCTATCAAATGTCTTCAATCTGCCCCCTTTCAAGACCATTTAAAGGCCAGCCCCTTTCCCCCACCTTGGAAGCACCAGACGTTATGGACTTAGCTGCCCAACAGAGTGGAGTAAAGCCTAGAAATCTTTCTAGAGAAAATGGTGCTATGCAAACCAGATGAGAGAAATTGGAAAATACATGCTGACACCCTGGCACTGATAGTCCAGCATCAGTTCATGTTACTCC